TGTTGGGATTATGAACTGTGTTAGAGATAAGGTTTTGGTGCCTACGGTAGGTTGTCCTCACGGTTGTTACGGTAGGTAGCAAATGCGTGTATGTGTGGCAAGGTTTTTAACTACTATAAACCCGGGTGGTCACCCATCCGGGAGCTAGTAGCTGTGGCCGTTACTTACTCCCAGTCGCATTCCGCGATTGGTAGCAGCCAACGCGCCACGCCACTTATAATTTGTTATATTTATCATATTTGCTTAATATTATATTTATTATAATTTAAAGTATTATTTTCCATCTTTATTATCCTTGCACGCGCTAGCTCTCTGAAGATGAAAAACTCTTATTGATTTTTTRAATCTTAAATCTAAATGTATTATGAATTTCTTATATGCATAATAGTCGCATAGAATATCATTCGAAAAATAAAAATAAAATATTGTTTAAAAAAAACACGAATTTAATTTAATTTATGCAAATGTCACGGAATTTATAACAAAATATTATCATCGAATGCGTGTCGCCGGCGTTCCCACGTATATGTTGTAGATAATATTGTATTATTAGGTAGGTATCAAATAATAACGAAATGAGTATATTATACCTTGGTAGATATATCTAATAAATTGTTGAAAAGGTAATATTTTATTAAACTAACTATTTTTGACTTATAGTGAATATATTTTGAATTTTATTGACTGCCCTTGTTAAAACGATTTGGAAAATGACAAATTAAAAATGTCCGACGAAATGATTTCCATTGTTCATATATCTTGATGGGCGATTGTAAGCTCCACCGATTTACAGGTAGTCGATTTTAGGGTTGGATTTATAGCATGTAAATTCCACCGATACGTATTTTTGACCTGTAAGCACGGAAATTCTATATAAAAATCCAAATATACATCTCTTTACAAAAGCTCCATTAGATTCCATATTCAATTCCTATTATATTATTTATTTTGATATTGCGTAAAAAAAGATATAAGTAATAAGTAGGTATCTGAATATAATATATATAAATAATAAATCTATACATAAATTATGTAGGTAGGTACGTAGGTACTATACTTACGTAATGTTAATAATAATATATTTTTCTATTATTTCTATTTGATTTTTTTTTTTTTATAATTATTGTATTTAAATACAATAGATATATTATAATTAGGGCCCGGATTTAAATGTACTCAAAACCATACAAAAATGCTCTAAAAATTAGCCAAAAATGTCCTCAAAAAATGACTTTAAAAATGCCACTTATAATTATTTTGTTAAACAATTTGTTATTTTAATTTGGAATTTATTATTAAAATATATTTATTACTTAATTGAAAAAAAAAAATTGGAAAAATTGACTTGACGCTGCTATGAAAATACACACCGGTGGAGTTTACATTTTTTTTTTCAGGTAAAATAAACGTACCGGTGGAATTAATTTACATGCGCCCATCTTGATTATGTGGGACTTGAGATTTTAAATTATGCTGTCTGACTCGCAACACTAAACGGTTCAATAAAATAAACCCAATTTTTGACTGAAA